GGCTGTGTCCTCTTAGCTCCTGGCTGGGCTGTTGGTACAGTCGAGCTTTGCCTTGGATTAGGTAGAGGTAAAGGTTGCGCTGGGTGTTTTAGGGAGTCTGGGATGGTTTCGTGGTGTGAATATTCTCTCTGGGGAGACTTTCCCTTGTTCCATGCACTGTGGTCCTGTTCTTGGCTCCAGAGGGAACAGTGCCCTCCTGGGCCAGCCTCTTGGAAGCCCTGTCAGGGATCAGAAGCTTCTGGAGAGAAGTCCAGTGGTGTCTGTTAGTCATGGAGAAGCCTGACTGTGGAATGGGAAACGAGCTGGGGCTCGGTGGCTGGAAGGCTTGGGTGGTAACCAGAGACGGGCTGGGAGCTCTGCTGGCTCCAGAACTGTCCCCCGCTTCTGGTGAGGGCCAGCAGCCTGTGGCACGTGCCATTCTAGACTTGGGTTGAAGTGCCAGGAATCCCCTGCCCCCACTTGCCTGTCCTCATGTCGTCCTTCTCTCTCGTTCCCCAGCCCTGCCTGTAGCTTCACGCTGTCCCTCTCTGATGCCCTCTGTCCCCCCCCATGCCCTCTAGGCTCTTGCAGCAGGAGAATGAAGAGCTTCGCCGCCGCCTGGCCTCAGCCACCAGACGCACGGAGGCCCTGGAGCGGGAGCTGGAGATGGGGCAGGACTGCCTAGAGCTGGAGCTAGGCCAGAGCCGCGAGGAGCTGGACAAGTTTAAGGACAAGTTCCGCAGGTACGGGGCGAGGGGACGGACAGGCAGACCATCCTCTCCCCCTTCGAAGGCAGTTAGCTGGGACAGCCTCAGATCCCACCTGATTCTGATGAGAAAACTTGAAGTTCTGGGAAGAGAGGGACTTGCCCAAGGTCCCACACGGAGAAGGGCCAAGAAGGGCTCTGCCTGTGTCCCTCTACAGGCTGCAGAACAGCTACACCGCTTCCCAGAGGACCAACCAGGAGCTGGAGGACAAGCTGCACGCACTGGTAATGTGTACAGGAGGGCAGCTTGGCTGTGCTCACAGCATAGCTGGTGGCCAGGACTTACAGGGAAGCCATGGGTCCTGGGGCCGGGGGAGGGGTGTGGTGGGCGGGGTGGGAGGAGACCGCAGTGTGCTGTGCAAGTCGGGACTGTCTTGATGCTCACACTGTTTCTCTTCTCTCCTCGTCTCCCCCTCACGCTGCCACCGTCGTTGCTGCACTCTCCTCTCAGGCCTCTCTTAGCCACAGCTGGATTTTTGCAGTTGCGTCTGAGTTTGTGTGATTTCTCCCTTTTCCTGGCCTCCTTAGTCCAAGATCCCTGTTGTGGGGCCCTGGCCGTGTCCCTCTGCCCCTGTAGACACCACTGCTCTTCTCCCGTTGAGGCCCATGGAGTCTCCAGGAAAGGGCTGGTAGGGCTCCTGCTCCTGGCCGTGATGATTGTCACCACTGAGCTCTCAGCTTCTCGGCTGTGGTGGCAGAAAGCCCAGGTATCCATCCAGTCCCTGAGCTGAAGACCAGGCAGCTACTTTGAAGCCTGCAGCTCCCTCCTTTCCCTGCTAGATAATCCCAGAGACGCTCCCCTCGCTGCTCCTGCATCCTGGCCTGATCAGGGGCGCTGCTGTACACCTAGCTTTCATCCTGGCCGCAATTACTCCCTCAGAGGCGCCAGCTGCGGGCCTGGTGCCTCAAGCCCTTCAAGCTCCCTCAAGGATGGACAGCTCAGAGTCTGCCTCTTCTTAGGCCCACATGGCATTAGTTATGCTCAGAAAGCCCCTGGAAAGCAGGAGAGGTGCCCAGTCTCCTTCTGTCTGTCCACCGTTTGTCTCTGCTCTTGTCTGCCTTGGCTGCCCTAGCGCCTGTGACTTCATGTCTCCTTGGCGGGAGGAGTGGAGGGAGGCAGGGCTAGCCGGGGTCCGGGCTGACCCCGGGTCTGTGTCTCAGATCAAGAAGGCTGAGGTGGACAGGAAGACACTGGACTGGGAGATCGTGGAGCTGACCAACAAGCTGCTGGATGCCAAGAACACCATCAACAGGCTGGAAGAGCTCAATGTAGGTGCACGTCCCCGGCCTGGGGCCTCCCCCGCCAGTGGCTGGCTTTGCCTGGGCCTAGCCTTGCTCCCTTGGGCAGGGCTGGGCTGGCTTCTGAAGCGGCTCTGTCTCTAGGAGCGGTACCGGCTGGACTGCAACCTGGCTGTGCAGCTCCTCAAGTGCAACAAGTCCCACTTCCGGAACCACAAGCTTGCCGATGTGAGTGGAGCATGCTGTGCCCGCCTTTCCCGTCTCCCCGTCAACTCCCTCTCCACCTTGCCTTCCTCCGACTTCTCTGTCACCCCTCAGGCTGCTCAGCCCTGCTAGTGTTCTCAGCTGTCTAAAGCCCGTCACGAGGCCCTGTTTATAGCTCTCTAGCGGAAATAGGGGCTCAGTTGGAGAAGTCTGTGCAGAAAGGATTGGGTGGCCAGAGTGTTGAGAGAGGATGGGGCCCATCTGACCCTCATCACCCCAAGGGGTAGACTATAGACCCTCGAGCAGGTTGAATGGAAGTGCATTCCCAGGCCTGGTGCTCAGGGCGGGTTTCCCAGACCAAGTCTGGCTTGGGCAGAAGCCACTGCAGAGGTTAGCGAAAGCTTGAGAGCTTAACAGCAGATCTGGGAACAAGGCTCAGCTGTGGTCACCCAAAGCGTCACTTTAGCCCCCCGAACCTGTTTACCTGTACCATGAGGTTATTCGGGAGAGAGCACCAAGTGGTGCTGGCGCTTTGGCCGAGTCCCGCTGTCTTGTGTTGCGGTCAGCGTGTGTTCCTGTCTCCTTTTATCAGCTGCCCTGTGAGCTCCAGGACATGGTTCGGAAACAGCTGCACAGTGCTCACGAGGCTGCCAGCTCGGACTCCGCTCCCAGCCTGGCCCCAGGGGCTGTGGTGCCCACCTCAGTCATTGCCCGGGTGTTGGAGAAGCCGGAGTCTCTGCTGCTTAATTCGGCCCAGTCAGGCAGTGCTGGGCGCCCCTTGGCTGAGGACGTGTTCGTGCATGTGGACATGAGCGGCGGGATTCCGGGGGACCCAGCCAGTCCTCCAGCCCCAGGCAGCCCCCATCCCCAGCCCAATGGGGAATGCCAAGCTCTGGGGACTGCGGGGGGCTCCCTGGAGGAGGAGCTGCCCCTGCCAGCCTTTGAAAAGCTGAGTCCCTATCCTACCCCGCCCCCGCCACATCCTCTGTATCCGGGTCGCAGGGTCATCGAGTTCTCCGAGGAGAAGGTCCACATCCCTCGCAACAGCCCCTTGCCCAACTGTACTTACGCCACCCGCCAGGCCATCTCCCTGAGCCTGGTGGAGGAGGGCAGCGGCGCCCGCCCCAGCCCGGGGCCCAGCAGTCCTGCCTCCGCCGGGGCTTCACCCCACCACCAGCCCAGCCCTGCCCCGCCGCCGCTCAGCGCCCCCGCCAGCTCCGCCAGCTCGGAGGAGGACCTGCTGGCCAGCTGGCAGCGCGCTTTTGTGGACCGCGCGCCGCCTCTGGCCGCTGTGGGTCAGCGCACAGCCTTTGGGCGGGACGCACTCCCTGAGCTGCAGCGCCATTTTGCCCTCAGCCCCACGGACAGAGACGAGGTGGTCCTAGTGCCTTCTCCACCTGAGGATCGCGGACTTCTGCCGCCCACAGAACCTGACGCCGGGTTTGCCAGGGAGGAGGAGGAGGAGGAGGAGCTGAACCTACCCATCGGCCCTGAGGAAGAGCGCCAGAGCCTGCTGCCCGGCGACAGGGGCAGCGAGGAGGGGCCCCCTGCTTCCCACGCGGAGGCCAGGGCCTGGCCACTCCCCACTTCCACTCGCCCCCAGCGCAGCCCCAAGAGAATGGGGGTGCACCACCTACACCGCAAGGACAGCCTGACCCAGGCCCAGGAGCAGGGCACCCTGCTGGGCTAGGCCTGCTTGCCTTCCTGTCCAGACCTTGACTTCCTCACTGCCCCGCCCCGCTCTGTCCCACGAACTGGAGGGGCCCAGGGGGTCTTCCAGCGGCACCCACACCGGCTGGCACTGCTTGCCCACCTGCGAGTTTTCCCTTTCCTCTTGGAGTATTTCTCCTCCAAAGGTAACTGGCAGCTGGGGCTCAGGCTGGGGCCATGGTGGGGCCATGGGTAATCAGTGTTCACCGCTTCTTCCCTTGTTCTGAGCTCTGCCGGGTTCTCACCACACCCGCCACTTCCCTCTGTGTGCTGCTGCTGGCCTCAGGGAAGAGGGAGGGAGTGACCGAAGAGACTCAGGGCTCCCCGCAGCTCTTTTGCCCTCCCTCTAGAAGAGAGGGTGGGCTGTGGGGGCTTCAAGTTGGGCTCTGGGTTGAGGCCTGACTCCCTCCCCCCCTTTGTTCTGTCAGTCCTGGGCCTTGAACTCTGGGCCTGGGTGCTGTCCCTCAGCTCTTCAGCTCAAGGCTAGCGCTCTACCATTTGAGCCACAGTGCCACTTCTGGTTTTCTGATGGCTTATTGGAGATAAGAGTCTCATGGACTTTCCTGCCTGGGTTGGCTTTGAACCATGATCCTCAGAACTCAGCCTCCTGAGTGGCTAGGATCATAGGCATGAGCCACCGGCACCCTGCTGGCCCCCTTCTTAACGTTGGCTCTAGACTGTTACTCCCAGCTTTGGGGAATTTTCACAATAACAACTATTTTAAAATCAAATAAAACTATTTTACTGGTATGGCCTGATTTGCCTTAATGGACATCCCTCTCCCCTCCCCATTGAGTGTCCGGGTCAGGCTTTGCCAAAGAGGCTCCCCTTCTCCCACTATTCTGGGCAAGCAAGGACACCTCAACTGACTTCCCGCCTCCCCCCTGAAGTAGGGTCTGGTCCAGCCCAGCTCTAGAAGGCTATGGTTGCCATTGTTTATGTGGCTGTATCACCGGGAACCCCAGATTAGAGCTGGCCTGGGTCTAGTGTAAGCTGCCTGGAGGCAAGGCTGCGGAGTGGTGCTGCCCCCTGGTGGTGGTTAGTGGTAGTTACAGCTCCTCCCCTTGGACATCCCCAGTGACCACAGCCACACGCCAGGTTATGGAGTTCATAAAATCTCTTCCGAGCCAGCGGGTTGCAGCCACAGCTGCTAACAAGTCCAGAGGCCGTGCCCTGGGTTCAACTGCCGCCCAAGACAGTTGCCTACTCACAGCTTCCAGAGCTTCCCATCAGCGCCAGGAGCTGCCAGAGCCCTAGGCACAACTCCCCCCTCCCCCACCCCCCCAAGCCCCAATGTCTTTCCCTGTCATCCGAAGGAGGGTGCTGGGTGTCACACACGGACAAGTGTGAGGGTGCACGGAAGCCCGAGTGGAGGTCACATTTCAGTCTCTGCCAACAGACTGTCCCCTAGTCCTGACGTCATTAGCACCATCTGAGAGCTGGGGTCTGTGGAAGGCAGAGGGGAGTTTAGGCCTCCACTCTCCTCAGACAGATGAGAGGTGAGACGTAGCCGTAGCCTAAGTTTCCCACACCCACTCGCCCTTGCCTGGAATTTTCCAGACTTTTTTTCTTTTCTTTTCATCAACCCTCAGGTTCTTACCGCTGGGGCACATCCAGGAGCTGTTGCCCTTGTGGTGGGCGGCTGGCTCCCGCCCTCTCTCCCATTCCTGCGTGTCGCCAGCTCCTCCTGCCGCCTCCTCCTCCTCCTCCCCCTCAGAGAGGAGGTCACAGATCTGCTGCTGCAGTTCTGGGCTAATGCTGTTCTCAGCCAACACCAGGCTCCGCAAAGCGGTTGGATAGTTTTCTACCATGTCCAGCAGGGTCTGGGTGGTGGGGCGAGAAATACAGAAAAGGAGGAACCTACCTCAGTGGTAGCTCTGACCTGGCCTGTCGCTGTAGGTATGTCCCTGGACACACTGACTAACCTCCACCCCATCACTTGGCTTGTCCCCACACCATGATGGCTTCTCACCTGAGCTGACTGGTTGGTGAGCCCTGTGCCCTCCAAGTCTAGGACCTCTAGGGTGCGGCTCGAGGCCACAGCTACAGCCAGCATCCCTGCCACATGGTCACCTGTGGGGACAGCACACACACACAGACACACACATTCACCTGTGTTCATGCATAGGCCTTGCTCAGCAGCTCCGGATGCCCTAAGAGCCTGGCCAGGAATCCCTGACCCCTGACCCCTGGTGATGGCCAAGGAGGGAGCATTGTGATTGGAGAGTGAGTAGAGGGGTGCAGCAGGTGAGATCCAGGGGTGTTTTGACCTGCCTGCTGGCCACTGCAGGGGGGCTCCTCTGCCACCTCTATACTCTAGGGGCTCTTACTCGAATCTTCTTGCCATACCCTCTGGGGGGGGTTGCCATGGCAACTGGTGGTCAGTCATTCTTAGATAGGGTATGGGAGGACGTGAGAAGCTCACCCAGCGGGTTGTAATCCAGATTGAGGACGCGGACCTGGGAGCTGTGGGCCACGGCAATGGCGAGACGGCTCCAGCCCTTAGGAGTGATGCCAGGGTTGGCACTCAGTGTTAGCTCCTTTAGTCCTGGGCAGCAGCACATGAGAAGCCAGGAGAGGAATGGTTAGGCTCTCCTTCAGCTCCTCTCTGGGGTGTCCCTACTGACTAGGAGCCACTCCACTCCCAGCCATAGAGCTCTGGAGGACCTCTGCCTCCTCTGCCTGACCCTGGAGTCTCCACCCCACTCAGTTCCCAGTCCTCCTCCTCGAGAAGGGCAAGCCACAGACCCGGAGGAACGTTCTCACCACAGCCTGGAGTTCTCACCTCCGGCCACACCCCCTCCCTCTGCATTCAGCTTTCATCCAGGCCCCTCCACCCATGCCTCCAGCCGGGCTTGCTCACCAGACTTGGCTCCATCCGGGGGAAGGAGGCCACAGATGAGGTTGATGGCTTCGTCACCCAGCATGCAGTCCCCCAAGTCGAGAGCCACGAGGGCAGGGTGGAGGGCCAGAGCCGGGTTCAGCAGGGCCAGGCCTGCGTCGGTCAGCGGGCTTCCATGCAGGCTGCGGGGCGAGGAGAGAGAGCGGGAGTCACCGTCAGCCTTACCTGCTCAGGAAATTCGGGCGTCTCCGGAGGCACCTGGGAAGAATGAACATTCCAGATGCTGAAGAATAAAGACGGGAGAGGAATTGTTCTCTGGAGCAGGAGCTGGGATCCGGGGCATGGTGCGAGGAGGCGCTGGAAGGGGTGTGTGGCTCGTGGGCACCATTGAAGGGGGCAGAGCGCCGCTCCATTTCCCGGGAACGAAGCGGCTCTGCATCCCCGCTCCAGCCACAAGAGGGAGGAGGGCTGCGCGTGGAAAGACGGGGTAGAAGGCACGCGAGGCGGCGGCGGCGGCAGGGGCAGAGATGAGGCGTGCGCTAAGGGGTGCACAGGCGGGATGGTGCGAAGATGGGGCACTGGAAGAAGGGGCGCGGCGGCCGGGACCCCCTTCCGCAGGGGTGCACTCACAAGAGGGACTGGATGGAGCGGTTGGTCCGCAGGGCTTCCGCCAGCTGCTTGATGCGGCTGGGGCTGGACACGACGCCGAGGTTAAGGTTGAGCTGGGCCAGGGACGTGGCCCCGGCCAGGGCCCGGCAGATGCGGCCGAAGTCGCGGTCGCAGAGGCGGCAGCCGCGCAGCGAGAGCAGGCGCACGGCGTTGTCGCGCAGGCCGCGGCAGATGTCCCGCACC